GATACAATTTTTCAATAAATGCATAAAATCCGCTGTGTAATTATACTACATAGATTTGCGTATAAAAAACAATTCTTCAGCTCAAAATGATTCGGAGAAGTTTGAACGTTTACATTATTTTTTAAATTGATAGCAATTCCAGTCTTGTCAATTAGCTGACTGACTTAAATATTTTATTGCCAATGGAAGACGTAGAACTTTTCTAATTAATTCAAATCTCGCATTTTTTAATTAATATTGAATTAGCAGGAAAATAAATTTTCAAAAATGCACATCATTATAAAAAACTGAAATTACTTTCTTGCCAATCCAATGAATGACTGTTTTCTTTAAATGTTCATTGTTTAAGAAAAATTGTTTTTCATATGTAAATGTATGTGCAATGTCTTAAAACTGCATAACATCAAATTCCTGGGTTTTATAAAATTTTTAAGCTGGATTAAAATGAAATATTTTAAAGGAGGATTTAATAAAAATGACCTAACTGCTTCAAAATTAATTAGAAGAATATAGTAAATATCCCAAAATTTCTGTTCATCTTCTACTCACTTTTCTGTCTACAATTTTACATGTAAACCAATGAGTAGAAATTCTGACATGAAATGAAGACATTTACTATATATTGCTACAGAAAATTCATAAAACTGCTTAAAACTTTGATCGGGTGAAAGCAAACGTACTTTCGCAAAACCGGTGGCATGGGATCCAGCAGTAGCTCCAACGAGTCCTGCAACCTCAAGCTGGCGTTCGGAGACACCGCGCTATTCTGCTGTTGCTTGCTGCTTGTCATATTTATAGTTACAGTGCTACCGAAAAGGTCGATCACCGCGTACACCATTTCCGGTATATTCGACGCGGCTATGCCCATGTCTTCCCCGTTCAAGTAGAACTTCAAATTCCCCTCATGCGTGCGTTTCAATCCGATTTTATCACCGACCCGCATCCACTCCAGGCTCGGGCAGTAATTCATGCACAGAACGTACCCATTATGCCTTACTTCGTTACCTAAATTTCAAATTTCATATATTAGCAATTTACAGGTGACAAAGGATTCTGCATTCACGTTCACGTAGAAAATACGAAAATTCGTATAAACTCTAATAAAAATTTGGGATCTCCCATTTGTAGATCTTATATTCATAAGTAGACTGGAGATTTTTATGCATTTTCATGAAACGTTTATAAAAGTTAAAAAAAATGAACA